AACAACACAAAGAGACACCAAGATTTTAACATGGAAAAAACCTTCTCAAAATGAGAAGTAAAACAACCACGGGCACAAGCCAGTAAACAAACTCCACTATGATTAATGTATGGGTACAAGAGAGTCTCAAATGTATCACAAATCATGCTCAACAATCAGCCAAAACAACAAGGCAACAAAACATGAAATAGAGAACAAAGAAGAACCAGAAAAATCCAAAGGGCTGCTACTGTGCATGGCCAATATCTCCCACCTCAGACCTCTGATCATTGATCACACCGTTCAGATTGAAGAACCGGATGTCAGGAACCTGTAGTTCAAATTTCGGCCAAATCGGACGGTGAACGAAGGAGATATCGTGATTCTTGTGCAGCTGCTATGTGTATGTGCGAAAATCTGTTTCTCTTCTCTTCTCTCACTTTTCTCTTGCCTCTCTTGTCTAAATCAGACCTCTCCCTCTTACCCTAATTTACCCCTCTCCACTTAGATAAGTGAGACACTTGGGCTTGCACATATTGGGCCTTTCTCCACATAGGATGGGAGCCCAAAACCCAACATGTTTCACAAATCAATTGAAACACAGCAAAATGGAGGTAAAATTCACGATCCATAGTTAAAAACAAAATAAATAAATTAAAAAGATAGAGTAACTCTCTACATCATCAAACCAGCATTAAAAACTACTATAGCGGCATATTCAACGACGGTGAACCTCTTCAATCTGGCATTGTTTCAAGAAGGTGATGGTGCTTTAGATAGAGGAGAAGAGATTGTTGATGGACAGACAACAGGGGTGGCAGATGGAGTAACAGGAGGAGATGGAGGAGAGTTAGCGACTGAAGGATTAAGTCAGGAACACATCTAAGTCCTACCTCGTTTCCTCTTCACTGAATTGAGATTGTCTCCAAGTGTCCATGATGATTTCGTCAGATAGCAATGACTTCAGTGTTGTAAACCATGGTAAATAGATAGCAACGACCATAGTACTTCATGAAGTTCCTCGACTCAAAACCAATTGGCCTCGTCAATCTTTTTCTTTATCATGTCCAATAATATTATGTTCGCTGATTTAGATGGCTTGTTCGCCTCTAGATGAACAACATAAATAAATTTCCTTGAACACCTAGGTCACGACAGAAATCGACCATGATAGAAATGGCGATCTGAGTACCATTGTTAGAGATCATTACTCCTTGTAAGACAAACTTGCACATGATTATTTGCCAATAGAAACGGCGAACCCCTTCATCTATAATCTTGGAGACTACCTCACCCTCTACCCATTCCGTGAAATAATATACTCCAATGGTCAGGAACTTTAGTTGGACCGACGCCAACGGGAAAAGGGTCAAGGTGTCTACACCTCGTACGTAAAATAACTAGGGTGAATGTTAGCTGAGATTTTCGACATTGAAAGAAGGGTATGAATTTAAAGACAACTTTATAATGAAGAATTTAGTATGGTAGTCGACCATTTGTGATCAATGTCGACCTAGTGTTTTATCTCGCTCTCAAGGACTTAGCGTGTTTTGGTGGTGATTTTCACGGAACAACTACAATTTCGACTACAAGCGGTTACTTCACTTACAAAAGGATAATATCAAATATCGGCCACGCACAAGAGTCCAGATGTCGATAACACATGAAACAAGCTATCAACCTCAAAGCCACGTAACAAGGATACGTGTCGAGCATGCACATAACAACCATAGATGATAGTTACAAATCTAGTAGTATATATATGTAATCCTGGTGTCAGGATTAGGGGTCACAAACTCACATACAATACTCCAAAACTTAAAGTATCTGCATTATAGAGAGAAACAAGTATGTGAGAGAATGTATGATCTTGTGTACCATCTTTTCGTTTCTTACGCATTTTATTAAAGCAATTTCATTTATTTAACTTATCTCTTCATTGGTTTTCCCTTGCTTTCACTTTACCTTACATAAAATCTGACTCAGTCAGTAATTTCCTTGTAACCTCTTTTTACTTAACACTAAAAATAATGGATACTTTGAATAAATCTAATAATTCTTGCACAAATATGTCCTAGGATTTACTAGTCGATCCTGCAAGTAACCATCTTGGTAGACTAGCCGTTGTTTGCCAAAAATACTGGTAAATAGTGACGTGACGGACTGAAGGATCTTCGTTGGTGCATGGTGTAGATTTTGTGTGCCTTGGACACTTGTCACACTTTCTGACGAATGCTTCAATGTCTTTAATCAGAATGGGCCGATAGTAGTTTGTCGTGAGCAATTTGTGGGCTAATGTTTTTCCTTCAATGTGGCTACCACATGTTCCTTTGTGGACTTTTGCGAGCACTAAGACGACTCCATCTTCTCCTAGACATTTTAGAATGGAAAAAGCTCTCAAAATCTTATAAAGCCTTCCGGAGATCATCATATATTTGTTGTATGCTCTGGGACATTTCATTCGCACATTTCATAAATAGGATAGTATATTAATAAATGGGCGAAGTAACTAGCAAATGGGTGCAAATTGGGATAAATTGGTTCACATCGTGATAGGTAGGCGGCTAGCAACTCTGCTTTGGGAGACAAGTGTTGTCCTCTCTCTTTTGTTGAATCATATATTGTACTTGGTGTATCCTTTGCATGCATACATGTACAAAGAACTATTGGATGAATTGAATAGAGATAAACACTTTTCAAAAAAGACTTAAGATCGAGGCATCATCAAATATGGATGCAATGAGCAGATGTCTGCATGACATTTTTCAAAACCCAACAAAATTATTATGAGTCATCTATAATGTCATTTGAAAACACTATTGCATTTTCAGGACAAGGATCAAACTCAAGACCTCTGGTTAATCTAAAAAAGACTTACTTCATTTCATTCAAGTGCTCTTGATTAAAGATTTATATTAGTATTCTTAAGTGATTTCCTCATTAGTAAGTGTTCAAACAATTAATGTTGAATCATTAATGTGAGTCTGAATTAAAAAATTAATTAAGTCTCACATTTGACAACCTTTTCTTTTTTAAGAGTTTATATAATAGAGCATGTCTTTTTGGAGTGTGTCCCAAAGGTATAAAAATTTTGCAAACGAGGGAAATGATCTCAATAATTAATACCACGTATAATATGGCTCGACTCTGGCTAAAGTTGGGCTTGTGGCTCTACATGGTATTCATTCTAGGCAATTTCTCTTTCCATCTTATAGTGAAAAGAAAAATTCTATGCATTCTCTAAAATGCCCCTGAAAACTGAATATATATTTCTGATGCGTACTATTTTCTGTTAAGTATTGTCTAAAAACCATAAATATATTTCCGAAGTAAATCGGAAATGCATATCTAGTTTCTGTGCAGACAGTATCAAAAAGACTTATGCAGGCAGTGGATCTTTTTACGTATTGTTTCACATTGAATACAAAGACGTATACAACAAAACATACTACAAAGATATATAGAACAAAGACATATAAAAATAGATATCAATAAACAGTACAAAAGGTGTTCGTAATTAATATAGGAGATAACCCAAAATCATATCCAAATACAATTAAAAAAACAATAACCAATATACATATACAACAAAAAAGACTAATGGGTATGGCGGACTCTGACTTGACCCCTCCCCCTCCCGGCGTTCCTCCGCTGCCTCCTGTACTGTAGAGCCCCCAAGCCTCCGCCATGATGGAATCCAGAACACCTCTAACATCAAAGCCATCAAGAAACAAACCACCATCAATACCCTCGACGACACCTAGGAAACACATTTATGATATAATCGTCCACGTAGCTCTGATCGTCTGGAGTATTGGTACTTCGGGCCTCATCTGAAACAAGATTATTCTTATAATCATCAAACAAAGCATCCATATCCTTGTGTTTCACCGGAGGAGGAGCAAATACAACAGAAACTCGAAGAATGTATTGGGTGTACCCAAGCTGACGCATGACGCGCTCAGGCATATATACAGCCGTCTTGCACGGCCCACGCCAACCATCCCGTAAACAACGCAACATCATCAAATGATATTGTGATCATGGTATGAATGGATGTGTATGTCATCAAAGACCAGTCTGTTTATATACACTCGAAACGGCTCTGTCGTCCGGTTCCCTCGGAGTATGGTCATATGCAGTGGCACGCGGCTTAGCTTCAATATAATATATATCTAGTGACGTCTGTTTATATACACTCGAAACGGCTCTGTCGTCCAATTTCCTCGGAGTGGGGTCATATGCAGTGGCACGCGGCTTAACTTCAATATAATAAGTATCTAGTGACCAACCCAAGATGCAGCGGAAGTATATGTACTTGGGATGAAGGTTGTGACTGGGCCTGAGGTGCCGGTTGTGTGACCTCATGACGGATTGAGACGTGACCTCATGACGGATTGAGACATGCCACAAGTGTGATGTTTTTTTTATAATAAGTAGGTTTTCTAACATAACAACTACTTAGAATCTCATATGCAGACACCGTTGAATGCCCGCAAATGGACTCAGTCCATAAGATATGGACACTCTGTTTTGGATACGCCCATCGGGACAAGCATTGCCATTTGTCATTACTACTTCCGCTAAACTCAGGTTATCCACTACTGTGACGGTTACATAATGTGACAAGAAAATACAATATTTTGTTAAAAGCCTAAACAAGACCATTATTTCGTTTTAATCTGTTATAATTGTTAATTGACGTTTTGCATCACAAACGGAACATAGACTAAGTCAGTAATGAGGGCTTGTCTTGAATTGAACCAGTATTGTATTCTATAGAGCATTTTATGAAAAACAAACAATTTTCGAAAAAACAAATAGTATAAAATAAATCGAAAGAAAATAACAAAGGAAGAGAAAATAATGTATTAAACTCTCATTAAAATGATAATTAAACTACACAAAATAATAGAATAAAACAATCGTCGCAAAGATCGAAAACAGAGCAAAATGTAGGTAAGGTTCACGATCCATAATTAAAAACTAAATAAATTAAATTAAAAAGTAAGATTAACTCTCTACATCATCAAAGCAGCAGCGAAAACCACAACGGCGGCAGATCCGGCGACGGTGAATCTGTTCAAAGCAGCGCTGTTTGCAGAAGGTGATGGTGCTTGAGATGGAGGAGAAGAGATCGCTGACGGAGTAACAGCAGGAGTGGAGGCGGGAGAAACAGGAGGAGATGGTGGAGAGTTGACGGCGGAAGGTGACGGGGAGGCAGCGTTCTTCACAGGCACGGAAGGTGAAACCGATGGAGAAACAGCTGGAGACGGAGACTGAGAAGACTTACGTGGAGACGCAACCGGCGATCTGGTCGGAGATGATGCTGGAGATTGAGCGACGGTGGAAGCCACAAACAATGTAGCCAAAAGAATCAGTGCGGCGGTGTAGGAAGCCATTGAGGAGAGATGAAGAAATACGAAGAAAACGGATTGAGAGATTAAAGCAGCGAGAGCAATTGAACGGTTGTGACTGTGGTTAAGTAAATTTAGGGTTTGATGGGTATTTATATTATAAGTGTAACGGGCTTGAAGACGCGTTTCTAGGATGAGTCGTTTCCGCTTTCAAAGGTCGATAACTAGGGTTGAAAATAGTGATTAGTATATTAGTTAGTCATAACTAGTCACTAAATTATGGATACAATTCCAATCCTAAACTTTCAAATTCGTTTAGCCGGTCAGGCACTAGTTTTTAGGGGGATTTAAATTTAATTCTATATAAACTTTATTAGGCAAACGAGTAATTTGAATAGTTTTTAAAGTAGAGATTTATAAATTATGATATCAAAAGTTAGATCAAGAGAATTTTAAATAATTGGTACTTCTGGAGAAAATTTTGCTTTGTATCTTTACTTTTATATTTATACCCTTACAATTTTGTAAAAATGTCAAATTTATCTATAATTGATTTTAACTTTTATATATTTTCAATTTTTATTATTCACTAAAAAAAATCAAAAATTGTACCACCAACGACTCTGCTTCGGAAGACATTAAGAAAGTACAAAAAAATTGAAAATTACATCTCCAACAGTTTTGTTTCGAAAGACATCAAGAAAGCACTAAAAAGTGTTTCGGAAGGCATCAAGAAAGTCTTATGGTACATATTGATACAAACTGGAACAACATAACAAAGTGTTTCAGTATTTTGAAAAAAAAAACGTTCCAGAAGAGTTTGTCCAAGTGTTCCGGTTTTGAACTGGAAATTTATATGAACCGGAACACTTCTGAAAAGTCTTATGGAACATTGAAGGGTAAACTAGAACACTTCTGAAAAGTCTTTCGGTGCGAAGAAGTGTAAATCGGAACACTTCTGAAAAAGTCTTCTGGTGCGAACATGTGTAAACTGAAACACTTTTTCAAAGTGTTCCGGTGTGTCCTAAAATCTAAACTGGATCACTTTCCATAAGTCATCCAGAGTGCATTTTCAATTTTTTTTAAATTTTCAGGTATGGAAATTCCGCATCAAATTACCAAAAAAATGAGCCATTTGTAGATATCACTGATGTATTCTCCACTATTGAAACATTCGATACACGAGAAGAAGTTATAAGCTGGATTAAAGAGGTTAAAATCAGAAATATGGTAATTGTTATTATCAAGTGTTCGGACACTGAAACATGCAAGAGAGGAAGAAGTAACAAAATAATATTTGGGTGTGAAAAGGGGGTAAATACAAGGATAAAAGTGAAACTCAAAGTGCGGCTAAGAGATGTGGATGTTCATTCAAAATCAGGTCGACTCCGTCAAAAGATGGGAGTTCATAATCATGGATTACCTGATAGGCTTGAATGTCATGAGTCTGTTGGTAGGTTGTTCGTAGATGATAAGAAACATGTTTTTTATTTGACAAAGAGACATATTCCACCCAGACACATATTGCTTTCCTTGCAAGAGCGAGATCCTGAGAATGTGACTCGGATCACACAAATATATAAGTAGAAGAGTGTGATAGAAAAAGAGATAAGAGGGCCAAGAACTAAGATACAACATCTGCTTAAGCTCATAAAGGATGCAGGCTATGTCTACTGGAGTAGAAAAGACATATATTAGTCTTTGGTTTGATAGTTGGTGTGGCGCTCGATTGCACTCTGATTTGGAGGCTCCAGTTGCTATTATTGATCAATCAGTCAGCAACATCATGGATAACAGTAGATGAGATTTCTCTAAGGCTACTACTACCATTCCTTCTACGCTTAAGGTGAAGATTTTGACCTGCCACATACCGTTTGATCTTCGGCCAAATTCGAGAGTCTAGATTCACTATTACGTTAGGGAGCTCACTAATAAAATTGGTTATGATTTTAAGAGGCTGAAAGGAACTCACAGGGATTGGTGGCGTTGGATTTGGTCTAAATCAATTCCACCGTTGAAGTCTTGTTTTGTTTGGAAGCTCTTACATGACAATATGCCTACATATGATCAATGGAAGAATAGGAATTTCGTGTTTCCTTCTCGTCGTGACTTGTGAAATGATGCAGAAGAAACTTCCCATCACCTCTTTTTCAAATGTAAATTTGCTTCTCACCTCTGGTTCTGGTTAGACAACAAGCTCAATTTCTTTTCTTCCATTCTTGGTTGATCCGATGTTTGGAGCCTTTGTAGGTTATTTGGTTTTGGTCAGTGCAAAACTATCACTATTGTTGTTGTCATCTTGGTTTTTAACACCATTTGGTCGGCTAGAAACAAGGCGAGGTTTCAGAATATCAATTTTAATCTTTCTTCGTCTATTTCCTCTATTTAGGCTGGAAAATTTTGTGGCTGGAAACATATTTGACGGTGGTGGTAAAATCGTTTAAATCCCATTTTTTGGTTCCTTGAAATATTAGAAACAGAGGAGTGAATTGTATAAATATAGGTGTGATAGTCTTTACATAGGGCTCACTCTCACTGATTCTACTTATTTTGCTATATATACATTTCTTTAGGTTCGTTTATTCTTGATAGGGTATTTGTTTTTGTCCCTCTATCATTTTTGTAACAATCTTCTTTTTATTATATATCCTCATTTAAAAAAAACAATTTTCTTCTATAAAATTACAGTTAGTTATTACACTAAAAATCATGACACCGTCAAAATTTTAAAGGTCATTGAAATTTTAAACATAATGGTGACACAACAAAACGGTATGCACTATTATAAGAAAAAAAATGAATTTAAATTTTAGTCGCTATTATAAATGAAAGTAATTAATTTTTAGACTAATTAATACTGAATTTTTTTTAGCAATAATCAAGTATTAAAAAAAATACACAAATAATCATGTTTCGAAGAAAATTACGCAAATAACCATGTTTCAGAAAACCCCATAATGGAGGAGGCAAGTGAGATGGCGCATGCAGTCACCTTTTTTCTCTAGGCGCCATTTCACTTGGCGCATGCACTTCGTTTTAGCTAAGTGAGATGGCGCATGCACTATAAAAAGGAGAGGAGGCGCCATCTCACTTGGCTACTACGTGCAATTGTGTTTTCTATAAATAAATCACCCATTTCTCCATAATTTTTCACACTTTATTTCAATGTCTTCTTATTTTTTTCTCTGTTATTTGCGTCATGACATCTCCCATGATTTTCACCAGAGATAGATACATTATTTTCTCGGCCACCAAACCTCCGATGAAAATGAAATTTTGGCACATTCACTCCATGGAGCGTCTGAAGAGAGTTGATACGATGGCTAGAGGGAGACATCAAAGTTGGGGAACAAATTAGAAGGATCCAGAGAAGAAGAAGAACCACCTCACTTGCAACTGGAAGACCTAATTTTTGGTTGGAGGAAGTCAGAACAGACGTAGACGTAATGGTGATGATGCATGGCTCAAACGAAATTGTTTTAACGGTTTTAATTACTTAGACGTTTTATCGTGTTTTTATTTATTGTTTGTGTATGATTTGTTGTAACAAATGCTCTTAATGAAAAACATTTATATTTAGAACTTAAAAAAGTGCAGATGGTTTGCATAAAAAATTTATGTTATCGAGCTTGTAGCCCGAGTGGCACAATTTTTTCGATTGTGTCTGACATGACGATATAAACCACACTTTCTTTCTAGCTTGTCAATGGAGTCCATTTCAATTGTGATACGCTTGCTTTTGGAGCGACCTTTTTTATTCCTTCGCATTTGATCATTGTGTCATACTATTTCCCCGTCGTATGCAGACCAATAATCAGGTTTCTCTACTAATGGGAAGTCATTGTTGTATACGTCGAGCAAGGTTTTGGACTTGTAAATGGGAGATAGAAGTTGTGATGCATCTTGATGAGTATACGCACATGTCACAATGACATGAGAGCAAGGCATACGAAAGGCTTGAAACTTGCCACAATTGCACCAACAAGATATAGTATAACCTTATACTCTTGTCTTGGCAACCCCTCGTTATAGTCGATTGTCTCTTTGACAATGAAGTTGTGACTGTGTCGGTCGAACCTTATAACCAGATTGGTGTTGGCTTTGGCACTTTCTGCCTTAATATACTTCATGCAGCTTTCACTTCATAGTTGTCCCGATTGTAAGACCGCATTTCATATTTCACCTCTTTTGGAAAACAACGAAGTCATCCTAAAATATGTTGATTTGACCAAAGCGGTTACTGGGAGGTTTCGTATGCCTTTGAATACACTGTTCATGGATTCGATAAGATTTGTTGTCATGTGGCCCCATCGTTGTCCATTTTCGTATGACCTTGTCCATTTCTCCACCGCAATATTATCGATCCACCTACCTGCGTTCGGATTTGACAATCTGATCTTGTTGCGATAGTGTTTGAACATAGGTTGTATTAATGCATACCCTGCGTTCATAATTGTTTTCCTAAGAGCCTTGTCTTTGATCTCCCTCGTGAAATTTTATACGATATGTCTAATACAGTAGACATGCGTAGAAGGAGAGTCATGTTAATCGTTTACAGGACTATTGTATGCACTCTCAATAGATGCATATATGTCAGAGATTAAATAAAGATAGGGTTGAGGAGCCACGTGTGTTTGGAGATTCTTGAGAAAGAAACTCCAAGCACCACCAGTCTCTCCCTCGACTAGAACAAAGGAAATTAGGAAAATGTTGTTGTTGTCATCTTGTGCAACTGCCATCAGTAACATGCTTTTGTATATTTGAATAATAGGTTTGCATGACACAAACCATGTGATGCAAGGTTAAAAAGCCAAGAACAATCGACTGAATATTCCATTTCTGGTCAGTTCCCGGATAATACATACGAAGTGCATGCAGGTAGCGCATAAGTTCTTTGTATGACTCCTCTCAGTTTTCATATACATGTCGTCAAACTCTAACTCGTCATCTTCCTCTTCTTCGACAAGGACATCTACTAAAAGGCGTCACCAATATGTCTCATCCGAGATATTTAGTTGACCCACTAACACAATGAGCACCAACCT